TTTGGTTTCGATGCCCTCAAGCTTGGCATGATTTTTGCAATTTAGGCACGCGGTGCCAACTACACGTCTTCAAATAATGGTAGGCTTGATCGGAGAACCTCATTTTCGGCTCGAGTTTGAACAAAGTATAATATGGTGGTGTTGGTGACGATGGCCAAAATGGGTCGTTTGGAGGTGTATACAATAGTGCCATTGATGAGCTTAAATCAATGGTCTTGTGAGCTTCCACATCCTCCAACGACTATTTTACTTCTCCCTCTTGTAGGAATTCCTCTAACATCCCTTTAAAATGTTTTTCACGCTCCACTTGGCTATCTAAAACTATGCTTACGATTTGAGCATCACAGAACTCATGGCTTGGAACAGACATCACATCACTTAGAAGATGTAAATCGATTTTGATCACATGAGCGTCCATCTTAGCTAAGTTTTAAGCTAAAACAACATCAAGGGCTTCTAAATCCTCATCCCGAGGCTCAATTTCCTCCAGAGTCTCAAATTTTTGTGAAGCTCCAATATCATTCGATTCACTCTCCCAACCTTGGTTGTTTGAGTCATCATCATCAAGCCACATTTGATTATTCACCATTTGATTTTCAACTTTAAGATTCTTGGTCCACTCCATAAAATAGTTGATTAACTCAGCCATTGCTTCTTCTAGTCTCGTTTTCTTCTCTTCTTGATGCTCGAATGGTTGGTTTATAATATCGGGGTGTGAGATATATGCAGGGCATTGATGGCTCCAACCTTGCAGTGAAGGATCCCAATGCTAGTGGTAGTCAAAATTTGCCATGTCATTCAATAAGTACATTGCGCTTTCATGGCTTCTAATTAACAAGTGACCACCGGTTGTCAACTCTCCATAATCCACCCAACTTCTTGTTGCTTCATCCAACCCATTGTAGAAAATAGAAGGTTAGAAACTGATTCAAAAGATTGTGGTTGGAATATCTCTCTACCATGTTATTGAATCTCCCCCAAGCGACAAAAAATGGCTCCAAGTGTTGTTGGGCAAAACTCGCAAGGATTTGTTGATGAAACATCTTGAAGTACCAAACAAAACAAACGCCTCAAAGAAAAAAAATTAGAAACAAATAAAAATAAAATAAACTAAAATAAACCAAAATGACTTCTACAAATATTCTCAATGATTTTGATCCCCAGCAACGGCGCCAAAAACTTGTTGCATGATTTGTGCTCACAAGTACACAAGTCGCCTCAAGTAATAAAATGTGAATAAGAGTGTTGATCCGACGAAAATTGAATCACTGATAATAAAATGTAGAAGTCTTGAAACAACGAATTTAATGAAAGAATAGATTAACAAAAATTCACTAAAAGAAAATTAAAATAACCAGAAGTGGCAAAATGCAAACTAAGCTAATAGAGACAAAAATCAATCTACGGTGGAAAGATTGGCACTCAGTTTCCCCTTTTCTACAACCTGGCCTATGTATGCTACAACAATGTTGTCAGTTAACCTGAAACATAAATTTTACACAAGAATCTCCCGATCTACTTATGATTTCGCCTCTTTGCTCAAGTTTCAACATATTCCTATGAGAAATCTAAACAGAGAGGTTATGTTAAGCATATGTTTCAATTGGGCAATGTGAGACAAGTGTATATTCCTATACTACTCACAAATCAACTAGATTTCTTTGTGAAATTTAGCTAAACAACACACTGTTCAATATTGGTCTAATCCCAATCAACTTTCCAGCAAATTGAAATCACTATATTCTGCTTATGATGGCCAGTCAGTAAACAAAAAACTGAACAAGAGAGATTATATTGAACAAACTAATCAGTATCAATATCGCAAAAGTGAGCATACACAACATCAAATTACAGATCCAGGTACTTTATCATCCCAGCCAAATTAATTTAGCTCATAATTGTTCTGTTAATTTCAACAAAATAGACAGCCATGATTTGAGTGCAGAGGAAGAGGAAAGATAAACCAAAATGAGGAGAAGATCAGTAAAGACAAGATGAAGCTTGGTAGTCTCCTCTTGTGGCTTCACTCCTTGAGATTTCCAACTCTAAATTCGTGTCCTCTCGTACTCGTCCTCCTTTCTTTCTAGTTTTCTTTTTTCTCTCTGCTGCATCTTCTCACTCGGTGCCTTCTGTTCTATTTTCTCCTCTGGCTATTTTTTGCTTGTTGCGGCGCTCTCCTTTGCTGAGAATTAAAGTGTATTCCTCTTTAGGGCAACCGAGGACGCTTAGGTGGCTCTTACTTAGAGGTTGGGTCCAGCTGACTAAGCACCAAATCCATCTTCTGTGCGCTTTGTCCTAATTCTCTCACAAAGTTATGCACTGACGTCATCCACTAACTGCATACTGTCCCATTTTTGCTATAGCAAATGCTGCAACATTTATCCTCACAAAACCTGCAGATCAGAAATGACACCTCTTGGACACACGTTAGCCCCTTCCTTGATCAAGTTTTCTTTAAAAACATCACAGAAACAACACACAAATAAATCTCAGCAGAGTGCACCACATGAACCAAAAGTTGAACAAATAAAGCAGAAAATTAACAACTAAATCTTTGAATGAACCAACTATAAACCTATGCCTAAAATAACTCTAATTCCTAGAGTTATCATCAACATACGAAAACTGATAGTAACTCCATAAAATATTAGCACAAGATTGATCTTACTGGACCATGTTACATTAAACAAGTTTCATGCTGTAACACCAGTAATGACGGGCGCGATAACTGCGAGCGTCATGCCACTGTTTTAGCTAGGTTTAAAGACTCGGCAAACTGTTGGACTTAGTAAAAGCTCCTACTCTAGTTGCTCACTCTGCCGCTGAGTCTTGTTCAAAAGGAAAACATCAGAATAATCTCAAGGGGTATTTTATATTTGTATCAATTAGTGAGTGGTTGAGTGTGATGACTAAAGACTTGGATAATCAATGCATATACTAACTGCAACCATCGACTCGTTCCTGTATTAATTCTTCAAATAAAATCATCGGGGCCCCACCTCATCCAAGCTTGTTCAAATTATGCGACTATATATATATATATATATATGATATATATAGATTTTGCCGTTCAGGACAGGTCAAAGTTGGGAAGAAAGTTAATTCTAGTCTCTCTCTCTCTCTCTCTCTCATATTTTCTTATTTTCTAACTACATCATTTTCCTTTTGGTTGCTTATGTTTTGTACATGATTTACTATGTGACAAACACGCCCATGGAATGTCAAAACTCAAAAACATTACGACAAAGTACGAAAATGCTTGAAAAAAGAACGTAAATTCTTTAATAGTATTGTTCTATTGATAAACAATGTTTCATTCTTATAAATACCATAAAAAAATTTCAGCAATAAAAGAAAAAAAAGAAACATAGAAGAAAGCGATTATACCTAAGCAACAACATAAAAAATATGTTATTTTAGTTCTTAAGTGAAAGAATGAGGTTAGGAATATCACCAACTTTAATTTCATTTCGCTAGAGCAACTCTCAATTATTATTCTTTTATTGGTAATTGTGTAAAATGTTGTTACATTATTTAACAATAAGATATTAAAATGATCGATGAAAAATGACAATTCAAAATTGATATAAATTAAACGTTAAATAAAAATCGGTGTCCCGAACACTCTTCAAAATGAAAAAAGTTACTCTTTGACCAATTCATTAAAGCCAAAGCATGAGCGTTTAAGAACCAACATCGGTGTGCATGCGTCCTGAATATATAAGAATAATGAATAAAATTCAAAAAAAAAAAAAAGTCTAGTAGAAACTACTGTAATTTCTGCTTTAGCTAGTAAAATATTTCAGTTTTCAAAGGTGCGATCCAAATAAACCGGCACACAAAAGTCAGTCACCTTCGGACTTGTTCTTCTAGAAAACAACATGACAAATAGGAGAGAATTTGCTTGCACGTCAAAAAGTTAATGACAAACTGTGCTTTCTAGAACCTCATAATGCTTCCAATCACAAAGTGATAGTTTCGTCGTGAAGAAGGAAACTACCCGTGCTTCGTAGCTAGGGAATATGCCGATTGTTGGATCGCAATTCGTCTGATCCTAATTCAACTTTACTGAACAAGAGATTAAGATCAAACAAGCAAATTAGTCAAGAGCGTTAAGGAAAAAAAGAAAGAAAAACAACAACAACAACAACAACAACAAAGAAAACCTTAAAGAATAAAATGAGTAAAAACCAAGTCCGGTATAATTGCCTCAAGGATTTATATTGAAAATTGTCCCCTTTTTATAGTACGTTAAAAAAATGAAGAAGTTTAATTCTCCACTCATGCAGAGTGTATTCTCTTCAGTACAAATATAGGCCATGTTTTAACAACAACAACAACTACTGCTAAGCAACCAAAATCTTTTAACATTCTTACCCTACAAGTAAGATACATTTTGAAAACTTCAGATTTCGTTGAATTATCTTACTTTTTTCTGAAAGTTTCTACGAGTATGACATTTCGTTCATATCCTTCCACAAAATCCTCCAGTTTTATATTCCGACATCCTTGTTTCTATAACCCGAAGACCCGATCTACACAAATGACTTATTAGTATCAACCCAAGAAGAAAAAATCACGGTTAACGAATAGTTTAAACCAAAACGTGCAACCTTTGGAAACGACCACGAAACACAGGAATACAAAAAGAATTGGAGAATTCCAAAAGATAATAGATTATGTTGCTTTCAGAAAAGAAAAAGCCGCATTGCGTGTGTTAATTATAAAAACCCAGCATTAACAGAAAAGGACAACGAACGTTAATGACAGGTTTGTTTGTTTGTTTACATTTATGATGCGGGCCGTAGGATGAGAAATAAGTCTTCAGAAGCGATCAGATCCGATGGTTGATATTGAATGAGGATAATTAACGCTGCTTCGTCTCAGTCTCGTTGAACTAGACCATGGAAAAAAGTCTTCCTTTAATACTTTTCAAACTTTCCATTTTTTGATTGAATTTTAGACGCGGTCATTTCCTACATATACGCTACAGCTCCACTGCCATCTTCCACTCTCAAGAATTCATCAAAACTCTCTCTCTCTCTCTCTCTCTCTCCAAAACTCTCATTTTCTCTCTCTAACGGAAGAGAATTGTTCGAACATGGCGACCATAAACGAAGTCTCGAAGCTTGAGTTAATCAAGCAATACCTGCTCGGCGATCTCCCTCCAGTGAGTAGCTTCTCGAATTTTGACCGGAATCAGTGGATCAGCGATCTGAAGACGGAGTTTTCGAGCTCGCAATCGCAATCGGATTCGCACTGTTCCAGGACCTCGAGCTCCTCCGATTACTTGGATTCAAGCGATGTACTTGATTTCACTTCCGATTTCGAGCCAAAACCTGACAACTTCGATTTCGATTTCGATTTCGATTTCTCGGAATTCGAAATGAAACCTGAACTTATCGACCTCACGACCCCGAAATCTCGTAATCTGACCTCTCAATCGAGTGACGCTTCGTTCGAATTCGAATCGAAGCCTCAGATTATCGATCTGAGAAGCCATATCCCCCAATCGAGTAGCATTTCCTTCGAATTCGAATCCAAGCCCCAAATCTCCGGTCAAAAAGGTTCTCAATTGAATCGAAAGCCGTCTCTGACGATCTCGCTCCCGGCCAAAACCGAGTGGATACAGTTCTCGGCTCCGGTGCCGCCGGCGTCCGTACAGAAACCGGCGGTCGAGGAAGAGATCAGGCATTACCGAGGAGTCCGACAGAGGCCGTGGGGCAAATACGCGGCGGAGATCCGAGACCCGAACCGCAGAGGCTCGCGCGTGTGGCTTGGGACCTTCGACACCGCCATTGAAGCCGCCAAGGCGTACGACCGAGCCGCCTTCAAGCTTCGCGGCTCCAAGGCCATACTCAACTTCCCGTTGGAAGCCGGGAAATACGACGTCGTCGTCCGTACGGACAAGAAGAAACGACGTCGTCAAGAGGAGGGAGGATACGTTAGCGAAGTTGTTAAGGAACCGAAGAAGGAGAAGGTGACGGAGTTTCTGGACACCGTTAGTTACGTGAAGAACATGCCCTTGACGCCGTCGAATTGGACGGCCGTCTGGGACTCCTCCGACGGGCAGGGTGTTTTTAACGTCCCGCCTCTGTCGCCGTTATCTCCACATCCTTCCATGGGGTATCCACAACTAATGGTTGTGTGAAAGGAACAAAAACTTCTTATTTTAATAGTGAGAATTGTATGAACCAAGAGTGAGTGAGAGAGAGAGAAATGTAATATAATTTTTTTTTTTTTTGGTGAGTAAATTGCAATATAATGTCAGCTTCATGTAACATTAACGTTACAAATGTGTCAATTTCTTAGTATTACACATATACAACATAATTGTGTTGTATGAAATAAATAGTATCCACATCCTGCCGTAGACAAGAATTGGACAAGAACTGGCTAATTGCTCTGTAAATTTTTTATGTAAACACTCACAAATTTGACGGTTCAAATATCATTGCTTATTGATAGAGTAAAATAGTAGTTCCTATAGTAAGAGTTTAAAATTAAAATCAAATGCATTTCCTTGGAATTATTAGTTTCAAGTTATTCCTGCAATCTTGCATAATGTCCACCAATACAAAGTTATGACAAAATGTATCATTCATGTAGTTGCTTAAATAGATGGATTGTGATTTTCACAATTTAATGCATTTCCTTGGTTGGAGGATTCGTTCTCTAATTCGAATCATAGTTCATGGTTCGCTACAGTATTTTCTCTCATAAAAAACACACGTAAATCGAAAATAATTCTGATCTCATGATTTTAATTTATGAACCAAACAGGCTCTAAGGATTTGTGTATTTGGGTCGTAAATGCATACACACATATATTTTAAGAAGTTAAAAGATATGTTCACATGATGAAGGAATTAAGTAAATACTTGAAGAAAAATATGAGACATATATGTACAAAAGACAACTTATCCATGTGTATGTAAATGTCCTAAACAAAGTACGAGATTTAATGTCGATCAATAGTTTAACTAATTAACACGACATCATTGGCCAAATTAATAATTATTTTTCTGTTTTGTTTGAGATGCCTAATTAAGAATATTAAAGTACATCCTTTTGGCTGGAAAATTAATTAAGTGAACCAGTTCATGTGCATTGACCTAGGGAAACAAAATTTATTTGACATGTTCATGTTATTTATATATAGTAGGATACTATTATAAAATAATTGTGTACAGTTCTAAAAAAAAAAGAGAAAAATACCTCAGTTAAACCATATCCCGTGGTAAGAAATTCAACAATTATAAAATCAATCAATATTCTCCCTGTTTATTTCTTTATACAATTTGAGAGACCACGATAGGGCCACACTCACACAGTAGATAATAATAAAAATAATAACAATAATAACTACATGTATTTTATTGCTAATAATTTTAATATTTTTCAAAAATGAAGAAGAACAAAAAAAAAAAAAAAGAAACAAGAATGAAGGATTTACTTAGTATAAATGTCAGTTTTTTTTCAGATTTCATGTTTCAAGTTTCAACGATTATGAATTTATGAAAGGCGTGTGAAGATGATAATATTGCATCAATGATTCAACCAAAATCAATATAATTATATTAATAAAATTAGTTGCCATTTCAATTGATGACCGAATCCCGTGGTTAAAAATTAAGGGTCATATGCTTTGGGACCACTACTAAGTTGAAGATGTCTCCTAATTCTATTTCTGGCTCTGGTATCTGATAATTTGAATTGGCTTAGGGATATCATTCTGTACTCTTGACCTTATAAGGTCTATAAAAAAAAATGTCAGATCTATTGATATTTTTTTTTCAAATCTTTTGACCAATTATTACATTCCATGTGGGGTATTTTTAATTAATTATGGTTTCCGATTAGCTACAAACGTACACGTATATTATTCAAGCTTGCATTTCGAACAGAGACCGTTACTTCCAATATTCGTCGGATTTGATCATACAAATTAAAAATTTTGCAATACATGACAGAAAAATATGCCAGTTCATGATTTAGAAAAGAAAAAAAAAAGGGTTAATCCGATCAGTGTAATTATTTGCCATGGAAATAATCATAGACATAGTACTAGCATGAATTACCTTCAACGTTGCAATTGCATATTTGCACGACTTTAGTTTTTTAGAGAGAGATATATAATATTTAAGAACAGATACGTACCTACCTCGTTATCCTACAATTTTATACAGAGGCCGTATATATGAATTCCTCCCAAAATATGTATAATATTAATATATATATATATATATATATATGTGTGTGTGTGTGTGTGTGAGAAACTTGCCTTAGTCAAAATGATCCATCTTTCATCCATTTAGTGTTACCACCTTCAATAATTTGGTATTTGACAGTGTATGCATGTATGTATGTTGTATTATTGCATCCTATCAAATATATATCAGGATATACAAGCGTGTGTAAAAACGAAAATTACTGGGAAAAAAAACAATTTCGTCTATTGAAAGGACCAAAACATCCTTGAAGGAGGGGAAAAAACGATAAAAACTAAACAAATTCAAAGCATTCAAAGAACCAAAAAAAAAAAAATCTCAAGCTACATATCTATGATTTGTTTTTTTTTTTTTTTTTTTTCAATTTATAGCAATTTTTTTCATTTTTTTAGTTTTTTTCCTTTTCTTTTCTCTTTTCAAGCGTTTTATCACTTGAAAGTCACGACTCACGAAGTATGAATTTATTATGCACTTAAATATCTTGATTTAACAATGTACGAAATAGATGATCTACTTAATAAACCCAAAATATATGATATTTTTATATAAATTTTCTAATAATCAATTTATATCATTATCAAAATCTTGATCTAAATGGTTGACTTAGTAACCTTTAACAAGTTATATATATGTGTGTGTGTATATATATATATATATATATATATATTATTTGTGGATATGGATGTTTAAATGGTTGACTTAGTAACCTTTAACAAGTTATATATATGTGTGTATATATATATTATTTGTGGATATGGATGTTTCAACACAGGTACAAACTTATGGAGATAGTACTATACTAATTATTAAGTTACTAAACCGCTGATTGACTCCATCATCACAGCTCCCCAACCATCTTTATTGATCTCTTTTCAGACCTTCCCCGTTGAGAATCGGACTTTCAAAGGAATAATTCATTATTCAAACCAGAGATCTTGGTTTGAATTTCACTGTAAATTATTGGAATGCCCTAATACACTTAACCATACAAAACTTCTTGTATTTAATTTAATTGCATGTCTAGATTTTGAGTGAAAAGATATTGTAAAAAGTCAAGGAAAAAAAGTACCAAGTCTTAGAGAAGTAGTTTGTGTGTGTACACACTAGAAGAAAAATTGGAGTTGGCTACAAATCGTTTTTGCGAAGAAAAATTGGAGTTGGCTACAAATCGTTTTTGTAGCAATATGTCAACAAAATTTTACATTAGATATGGGTGAAATCTTTTGGTACATAAGAAGAAATAAACTAGGAATGATATCTAGTCTAGAGACACCATTAAAACAACTGAACAAGATGGGCAAATAATACAAAGGTTGTGTTTGGAGTTGTTTTTATTTTGTTTTTCATGTTTTTTGAAAAAAAAAATAAAAACGGGAGAGAAACAACATTTGGCACAATTAAAGACAAAAAACAAAAATGAAAATGATTTTTTGGTTTAGTTTAAAATGTGAGAGAAATGAAAAATGACTTTTAGTCTTTTTTTAATTTTTATTTCCATTTTCTCCTCTCTCGAGCAGATAGAGACATTAATGGATTTTTTATACTGAAAATAATATCTTGATAAAACTATCAAACACATTTTTAAAAATAATTTCTGTCTGAAATTAAAAACGTTTTCATTTTTATTTTATAAAATTATTTTAGACGAGTTCTAAACGCACTTAAAATTTTACTGAATTATGGGCAGCTTTGTTTTGCTAATATGGAAACAGGGGTGTAAAAAAAAAAAAACCACCCCAATTAGTTCATGATTAACAACTAACTGAGAGCTATCATGCATAATCGCGGGAGTTGCGTTAGCAGCAGCATCAGTTTCAACAGGGACGGATTTACATAGGGCACGTGCCTAAACTCTAGTTACGGATTTACATCACTGCTCCCCACTGAAATCCGCTCCTGTAATTAATGCCTTTAAACTCTAGTTACACAGTATATGGCTAATTTATCTCTATGTGTCGAGCCTTTATATTTTACTTATTTAGTAATTGAGTTAATTACTTTTTTCATTTGTTTTCTTTTAAGCTAGAAACTTTCACAACTTATTTCTGTCTCAACACATGGCCAACGTTTTAGGATGGTAAAAAGAAAGAGCATGACGTACAACAAAACACCTTGAAAATTCTTTAAACGCGATACCATTTCTAAATTTGCCGCAAAAAAGAAAAATGTTGCGTATCGATGGTCATAATTCATCTGCATGCATGTGACCGAAGTAGGATTTTATGCATTATGGATGTTATAGAGTAAAACGCCGAATCTTAAATTAAACTTTGTATTGGACCTACACGCCCTAAATAAGAGCATTAAATGGTCAATGACAGCTCAATCCTAACTGTCACATCAGCAGACAACTCTCTTAAGAGTCGACTGCTAGAAAGAAGTGTTAGGCATATGAAGAAGGTCGACCGCTCTAAAATGATATAAAGGACAACATGAAGCTGACCATACTCGCAATCGTAGGTGAAGAAGCTTCTGAAAGCGTTTATGAAGTCGAGGCGGCGCAAGAGATGAGATTTGCGAGTCTTACTCGAAGATCTGCTATTTGTAAACAGAATATATGAAATTTAAATAAGAAAACCATCCTGATTGATTATAATATTTATTTTTTGAGAAACTATCCCAAAAGATAAGGAAATAACCCAAATTTAAATAGGAAAAGTTTATAGGCGGTGACTTAAGCTATAAATAAGAGATTATGAGTCAGAGTATCCCCAAGTCTCATTATGAGCATTAGTGTGTGTATTCTCTTCCAAAGTAGTAAATTTCCTCTTCTCTTCACAATGAACGTAGCTCTCAAACCGAAATTGAACCACTATGGGTGCGTTTGGAATTCGTTTTAAAATGATTTTATTTTTTGTATGAAAATGTTTTCAATCTCAGATAGAAATCATTTTTGAAAATGCATTTGGTAATTTTATCAAGAGATTATTTTCAGTATAAAAAAATCCATTAATGTCTCTATCTCTCTCTGTGCTCGAGAAAGGAGAAAACGGAAACAAAAAATGAAAAACGACTAAAAGTCATTTTTCATTTCTCTCCCATTTTACACTAAACTA